TAGCAATGTTTCTTTATTTTTAAGAGCAAGTTAATATTTGAAGATGATAGGTTAGCATTTTCTGTAGAATAACCTTTTGAGGCAAGAATGGAGAACTGAACATCGGGTGTGTTTTATGTCCGTCTTTTTATCTTGGATCATTTAGTCCTGATTTTCCAATAACAATATACATTCTGTGTTGATTTTATGGGAGAAAAACACGAACAACCGACTGTTGGAGATTAAAAGTTTATCACGGTAAATGATTTTGAAATTTTCTTTAATGTGAATAAGACACTGAAAGACCTTGGGTAAATTTTGCTCAAAGTTTGTCCTTTTCTTTAGGGACGAGGGGATAAAACCGACCCTCCCTCCCCTTTTTATTGATCTAAGCCCTGTTTGATATCTCTTGAAACAGATAGACAGATGTTTTCCATTGTTAAGGAGGAGAATTAAGTGCTCATTTATAGACAGAAGTAATCGTCTCCGAATCAGTTTATCAGTAAAAAGTCAACACTGGTAGAGGCTCCTATATTGACACAAAACTAATAACACCTGTAAAAAAATTCTACCTGAAAGCTTTGTACATTTGATTGGAATATTTCATTGTCGATTTCAGTGATCATTGGGACCAGATATGAGAAATCTTAATGATTTTGATTTTCAATGACAAATAAAGACAGACCGATCGTAATTTACAAGATAAATATCACATCCCTGTGTAAATTCAGGATGGAGTCGGATAAAAAGAAGTGTCACTGAATCTTCTGACTTTTTATTTTGATCATAAGTGGATGTGAGTTGGGGATAAAATATTTTTCCATCCCCCTTTCTTGTTTTATGACACCCTTGACTAGATCTTTGTAATAAATAGAGCTATGATATTTTATATTCATTTCAACACACGATTTCCTGTTACAAACACAGTCAAGAATCTCAGTTATTTTGAGTCTACTTTCTTTTCCCTTCATTCAAATCATATTCAGGAAGGACAGTGCATGCTCTTACGTACAGTATTCATAGACCCCCTCCCCCACATTTAGCATAATCAATTCTGTTGCACCACTGAAAAAATATACAAATTATTTGGAATATGTCTTAAATTTCCAAAAAGTACACATTATATATTTACTCATTTTGGATTTGAGAAGTATCATCTACAAACGATTATTTAGTTAAATTGTATAGCTATAAAAAATATTTTGAGATGACAATCTAATAATATCCTTCTTTTTATTATTATTATTATTTTTTATTCATTTATGCGCGGACATTAATTTGACGCACAGAAGTCACTAGGAACCTTGTCATCTAGTGTCAGAATTTTTGCTATCAGATCGAATTCAACTTGCTCTCCTAACGAGCCTTATTTTCCAATGCCGACATGCTTTTTGCACAGTGGCACGTTTTATTTTAGTCCTTCTATTGTATTTTTGTTTCACCATACATTTTTGCCTTGCAAATACGAAATGTTGAACGAAAGGGGACAATTCATAAAAAAGGACTTTTCTGAATTAAAAAGTTAATCGATAATCATCAAGTGATAAATATAATTCAACTTTAATATAATTTTCTACATTTGCGTGAATTGTTTCCTTATTAAACTATAAAGTCAATGAGGTTAAAATTTATCTCTATTTAACGATTTAAGATCCTACTTCAACACTACAATACCCAAATCTGATGACTAACGGATTACATGTTATAATTGATTACTGTTTAATCTTAACAAGTTCATAACAATGGAGTTTGTAGAAAAATTCGGATACACTGGTTCGACCTTTACAATCAGATTATATGATCTCTTGTTTAATTGTAATGGGAAAGTATGTCCCCACTTCAGATCTAGTATATGTCATGCGTGAGCCCACAGTTTTTACCCCTTACGGTACAATCCTCAACTCACGATTCCCTTGCCACAAGCCTGTCCCCGATCGTGTCAAGCTTCCTCGTCTACCAGTGGTCTCTGAAAATTTAATTGAGTTTCCTTATTATACAAGGTCACAGAGAGCCGGAAAGTTCACAATAATTGTGGAGGATATAAGGATGCATTTCACGGTATCAGAATTCCGGACCCGTCACAATAGGTAGTCATACCTCCAGCTAAACCATCTGTTTCCCAGAAAAAAGGCATTCGTATTTATTTGCAGATAGCTAAATTCCCAACTTCATCATTTTGTACTTATTTAAGCATAACGAGGAAGTTGATTACAGAGGTACAGTTTACAAATGGTTATCTATGGAACTATTGATCCAAATTATCGAATCGAAGGAAATCAAGAGTAAATCCTGTTAAGATCAAAGTCTAGCAGAAACAACCACAGAAATTATTTAACATCATCTCTAAAATTTGGATTCTTTCAAAGATATATGTATTTTTTTTTTTACTTATTATAAATACTTATGAGTTAGAATATGTCTGACCTACATGTACTTGTGAATTTTAATAAACGAGATTGGTTATAATTAATAGTTGTAGACTCAAAACCTAGTGTCACTAATAAGGTCTCCTCTGACATTTGAAAAAAAAAGCAAAAATACTATAGAAAGTCATGTCATCTGATTGGTTCATCTGATTTGTCAATCAAGCTTCTGTGAGATGTTGTCTGTCAGTGGTTCTTTTGTTTCCACGTGACAGAATGAGATCGCAATCACGGAACCGTAACCAGTAAGCGTGAACTCTCCGGATAGTGGGGGTGATTATTCACTTACCCGTTTCTATAGTTGATATCTATCCTCAGATTGACACATTATAACGGAACATTAATTAACGTGAGCTCTTGTTAAACAGAGCATCTTTATTTCCAAACATGATTTTTGATCATTCTGACATTAGACCTCTTGAAGTAAATATCCAGAAACATTCCGAAGAAAAGATGCTTGGTAAGATAATAATTTAAATTCATATCTTAATCATGCTTAGATTAACTTTGAATACTGTAAAAGACTTTTATTAAATTTTATTTTCCTGAATCAGTATCCCAAAAAATTACCTTTTCTTATTTTGTTCACTGATCTCTTTTTATATATAGTTTTAAATGACAGCAGATATAATTCGTCCGATGTAAATGAAATTAACAAATTTAATTTCAATTATAATATCATAATGACAAAAATATTTTATCATTAAATGTTAATATTTTTTCTTAATTTTCACAATTTTTTTTCTTAGTTTGCACTTTTCCCCTTAATTTGGACGTATATTTTGTGAAGTGTTAACTTTGTATTTGAATACATATTATTTCATTTATTTGAATGTTAATTGAACATTTAGGCCTATATAATGCTGCGAGTTTCCGTCATGGGTGTATGTTGTCTATTATTTAGTGAGTTTCCGTATAGGGTGTGTGTAGTGATATTGTATACGGTGTACCGTTTTGTTTTCCTGGGCCCTGTAACCACCGTCGATGAGAACTTCCTTATTATCTCAACTTATTGACAAGGATGGCGCTAATCGATGTGAATTGCAAAAATCACCATGTCTCCTCTAGATATAATTGGTCGATAATTTTCATTAACTGTCCCCAATTAAGACTAATTAGCGATGAATTCTGTTCACGCTTGTTGACACTGAATTGTCATTGCGTAAAACATTGGGTAATTAGCATTGCATCCCAGATCTCTCGGGTCAATTCACCTGTCCATATCGGCGCAAAGTCGAACGGTTTTAAAGGCTTCTGGTAAGTAGAAACAAAATACAATTTAAAATATTTTTGTTTAAATATTTTTTAACAATTAAATTAAACAAATTTGTGGTAAAACGTAATTTAATTATTTTATTTCAAAAAATTCTATGATCTTATATTGCGTCATATAAATTTGAATAATTTTTCTATACATGCATTTCTCCTCTCTTCTTATCTTAGATTTTTTTTAACAATGAATTTTGAAATATAAAAAGAATTAATTCAAATAAATAAAAATATAGTCAAAAAATATATTAAAAACACTTAACGCCATATTTTTGCAGCTGTTTTAGAGTTGATGGGTCGCATCTGTTAGGGTTATCTCGACCTGTTCAGCGCACGACCTTATCTTTTTTTACATGACTTCTTTTTTTTAGAATCCGATTCCTATGCGGTGCATCGGGGACATGCACAATGCTTAATCGTACAATAATTGCTGGTCATCTCCGGTCAACTTGACTTTTTCTGTAGAAATGTTATTTGCAGATCACCTGTCAAGAAAAATGAAATATCTTTCTTTGTGCAGCAGGATGCACTTAAAAAAAAAACAGCTTAGCACACAGTCAGGCAGAAATACTGCTTGTTAGACTGCAAGGATTTTGACAAGAGCTTAAAACATCAGTTGTCTAATGCATATCATTGTTTGTTGTTGAGATAATATACATGTAGTACTTGGTATCAAATCGTCATATTAACCTTTATAAGGGAATCGGGGGTTTTCTGCATTATTTAAATGCTTTTTGATATAAAGTATTGTCAGTTTTAGTGCTATGTACCCTGGTTGGGTGGACATCTAAGGTCATGGGAAGGGTCATTTAATGTCGATCTTCTTTGTATCCCAAACTGGCCACTGGTCAACCTCCGTCAGAGTTTATTTCAGAGCTGCAATTACTCAAAACTGTAAAAGACGTCCCAGATCATATAAAAAAGATCTCCCAAATAATTACAATAAAGAAGTCAAAAGTCAGCTCACAGAACAAAATTATTTTCTTTTGTAAGATTCTAAAAAGATTTAAAACAAAACCCTAACTTATTTTAAAGTGTAATTTGCTTTATTCTTTTTAAAAAAAAAATGTATTTTGAATCTATTTCTCGGAAGTATTCCTCATCAAATCCTTCGCCCACTGATGAGGACGAATTTGTTACTACCATGGGAAAAATATCAGAGTAGTATAAATATACATACTTAAAAAATGACAGAGTAAAATCTTTTTAAGCTGACTTTTAAGTCAATTAGCAAAAAGTGGTTTCCGGTGGCATCGAAAAGGAAAAGCTCTTCCAACTACACACATAGCTAAGGCGTTATTCAAAGGACGAGCGTAATTGAAATCCACTTGAAGCAAGGCAAGATTTACACCTCTTAAGGGTTAAGATACCGACCTTAAACGGCTGCATTAAAGTCATAATATTTAACAAGAGCTTCTTCATCGCTTCGTCGTGTCACTATCTCATCCCTGAAAATTTACTGTTTGCTATCATGGTGCTACTTGACACTTTTGCTTTATTCGATTGTGAGACACAGGACAAACGTTATCTCTCAGAGGGTAAGTCTCTTGTGGTACCTACACTTGAATCGCTCCCTCGGTAACAGATACTTCATTGATCCTACGAATTGTCAAAGTTCCCAAAAGTATAATCACTGGGAAAAAAATTAACAATGGAAATCGAGAAAAGGGGTGTGTTCGTTACTTTTGTTAACAATTGAATTACATTCAGAGAAATACAAAAAATACATGTCTACTAAATGGAAACAATTACTTTTACAAACTGAATTCGTAAGTGAAATATCGTATTTACGCTTGAGCAATAAATTCTACATTGCGAGAGCAGATGGCGCTCTACAATAAAATTTACAACAGTTTAATATGTCATTGCCCATTCTTACATTTCGGAAACGAAGGAGAAAACAGTTTAAATTGATAAACAAATGTGATAAGATGCGCGCAATCTTAAATAACAAAATGCAAATCCGGAAAACTTTAGGCAGGTGTGGGTTTGGTTTTGATTGTTATGCAAACTGCGGATTGGTGCATCTTCAGTCAGTATTATGCATTGACAAGAGGGGCTTCTCACTGATGTAGCTCTTCTCCATTAAGTCGATCCCGTTCGCATCTGTCTATACAATTACCAATTGAATTTCCCAAAATAAAAACACTATCTTCCAAACTATATCTCATGATGCTGTACACATTAATTTGTTAAACAGATAATTATTCTATTCATCCCTGAGATAATACTTTATAAAATATCATTTTCATTGAATATGATCCATGCTTCAAAAAATACGGACTGGTTGTTTAAATGACATTTAAGTTAGCCTGCCTGGCAATAAAATATAACTTTATAACTGATAAGGCTGAACATTTTCTCTTCTTCACTGTCTTGCACAGTATCCCAGCCACTCGTCTTGTATTAATTACAAAATCAAAATTTTAAAACACAATAAAACACAAAACCCAACGAAAAACACAAACATTTGGTCTCGCCATTTAGAGGTTGATGAACTTAGTCCATTTCCATTTCAATTGTATGGTTGTTGTATGCATTATTTAACTTAATTGCGAGTTTTGGAGAAGTTTTTTTTTTTTATGATTCCAAACAGATCGAAACAAAGAGACCAAAACCAACAGGTCCCGGAATATAGGGAGTGAACAAAGAAAAAAAAATACCCAGTACAATTTAAAAGAGAAAATTGTTAATGAAAGTGGAATATTTCAACTCGTCCAACATATTCATATTACGTTGTAATTTGTCAAAGTTTTCAATATCCGAAGTCGTCAGTCTAATCTATTGACGGAAAAGTTAGCTTTATCTGCAAGAGACATTTGCCTGAGTAATTTTGACACTTGTTCATTATTATGAAGTAGTCCAGTATAATCTTTGTATGATAACAGTCTAAAAGTGAAGTAGGTTTTTGTGTTGAAATGACATTGTAAAATACAGGTATACGGCTTTATTACGTACCACTACAGTCCGTTACATCTGTCTCGCCCAACCAAGGAATACACCATTAAAATCCTCTTCACGACAAACCAGCATTTTCAATAACACCACTCGAATGTTTGTCTTTTTCTGCCCAGATCCTGACAGTTTTCTCTTATCTTTATGGCGCATCGTAAAGGACGAAAAATACAACCAGTCAAAGCATAAAAACTTTCAATTGCTCTGTTTTAGCTTGGATCATCCGGGTTCTTTCATCTGATTAAGATAAGGCTTTCTACAAATACTTCCTAAATTGGTAGTTTTAACTTCTGAGAAAGGTACACCCAGATACAATTAGGCTGCATTGTTTTAATAACGGGTGACATTCTTGCAGGGCTTAAGTCTGAGAATAGAAGGACTTCGGACAAGAGAGAGATGATAGCAGCAACGGACCACAGTTGCAAAGAAATCGCTCCGAACAGCGACGGTTACAGGTAAATCAATTTTACTGACATTGTCAATTTCTCATATTACCGCTTTCAAATGAATGTTTGCATGTTTTATTTCATGTTATTTTCTCTAAAGTGATCAAAGACCAAATTTCTTTTTGAAAAATACAGAAATAAGTTTTTGGGGAAAATCAAGTTGTTCTCTTTTTTATTTTAATTTTTTAAATTTTTTTAATCGTAAAAGAATAAATATTTATCTAAAAACAAAAGATATATACCAGTTTCATTTTAAGATTCTTCTACATATGTACAGTTGTTACAACAAAAATAGAAAGCATTATATATAATGAGATATCATGCTCAAGTTTTAAGATCAACAGGTAGAATATTTAATAAATGGTGGGGAAAGGAAATATCAATCTATGTTTATCATTTTTATTAATCACATTTAAATTACAATTTATCCGAGATAAGAATTTGTCTATTTGTATTTTACATAAAAGAATCGAATCAATTACATGCCATCGCTGAACTTCTCGACTAACTTTATCTAAACCACCAAATGCTTAAATTGACGGCATATCATAAAGGGTCTAAAAGCATGAAAAGCCGAATTGCGATTTAACAACACTCGATTGAGTTTTAAGTGAAAACATTGCGAAGATTTTATCTTGTCGCACGACACATTAAAATCTGTTTTGTCATCGTTGTTAAAAACTTCGCGAGACTGACATTTGTGAGGACAGGAATTGAAGACACGAAGACGTCTTCAGAGATAATTCGGGAGATATTGCTGTCACTCGGTTGCGTGAACCATCTACCCACAGCAGCCTTGTCTGAGCAAACTTATGCCGTTATTATTTCGTTATCATTAAGTTGTCAATGTCAACTTCTCCTTCCCTTGTCCGCCGATGGGGACTATTCACCGCCATACAAAGCTACAAACAGTCTTCTTTGAACCAATTTGCCCCGCTACTGCTGAATTATGAACACCAACCACATCTATTGAGAGAAGTCGCTGGTCATGGTTAAGGAAGCACACTGGACCATTTTGACAATATCAAGTCACCTATGGTCCACTTAGTACAAAGGAGAAATGACATCTTTAAAGTCTTATTTTTGATTGAATTCCAGTGCGATGATCAAATTAATCACAGACATCAAAGAGAATTATTTCTACGACTATGTCCTAATTGAATCCTTCAAAATACAAAATTCATTTAAACACAAATGTGGATGTTTTACTATTTCTTATATTTATCTCTTTTCTTTGTGAAGAAATCGTTTTCATCATACACAAATTTAATTAGCTGTAAATCATGTTAACCATTTGAAATTTAATTGAAATATATAAGGGAATTTCTTTCTGCCCAAAATCGTAAAAGGATGACTCTGATCTTCAAAAGGCAAACATTCCTTGTGATCATCGAAATGTGGAAATGCCCCTCGCTGAGTGCACATTCGGAAGTAAATTCATGTTTGTTTATTATTTTGCGATATAGTTCAGCGCATCGTTTTGCTTAGCACGGGATAACCTTTTGCGTTCTTGATTACAGGAATGACTTGGTATTAAACACGTGTGGCATTCTTCGTGAGTTGACTTAATTACGTGCCAGATCTTCTTCACGCGACATAATCTGGTCAGCTCTAACCGCCACGCTATACCGAATACTAATCCTTTTGGATGGATTTCAAGTGTATCTACAAAACATATAGTTTCTGCCAATCAAATTCTTAATCCAAGTAAACACTACCCGAAATGTTAGAGATTTGCCTCCGAAGACCAATTTCATGATCCAAGGTTGACCCAACACTGGGGAACATATTGGAACAAGGATTTGGCTATCCCTAAATAACGATATTTTAACCTCTGATTTCCCAAAATGTGAGGTAGATTAAAAACACATCTGGGGGATAAGAAAATAAGATATGTGGATATGATAAAAAGGTATACATTTCATGTAATAACCCTGTTATTGCATCGTGCATCGTACGACGTGATTCACAATGTCATGACCCTTACGTAGGGGGATAAGATCTCATGTGCCTCAACAATTTCACGATTCAAGCGTCCTCAGCATATGTATCTTTTTCTTCCTTAATTGTGGACAACCATATGTCAAATCATTTCAAAGTAAAAATAATTTAAAACATCTATTTGTTTACTCCTGAAGCGTTTTCTGTGTAATATTATAGTATAATAAAGCCATTAAAATATCGCGTGTTGAAACACCAGAATTCCGATACTGGAATGTTATAGTAACTCTAAAATAACTTTTAAAAACAAAATATTTATGTGTTTATGATTGGCACTTTTAGAGGACCCTTCAACTCCCAACTTAACACGACATGCCTTCTTTCATTAGCTCTTGTAAATGTTCCCATTATCTATGTTAAGGTCACAAGTGCGACAGGAAAGTGCAGGGTACAAATTTGCCACAAAGACTCTCAGGTTACAGTAAGAAACACATCGACTTATTGTTCATTTGTGAAGGAAGCGCATTGCTCTGTTGGTCTATGCATGATGAGACATGGTTTTTTACATAAGCGAGCGCACCTTTGCTCCCTGATGAGTAAACGGCTCCATTTACCCGGCCAATGTGGGTAGGGGTGTTAAACGCTCCAATAACATGTCAATTGCTTCTATCAAAAGAGCTTGCAAGCATTTAAAGTCGGGGGTTGAGAAATGAAGTTAGTCTAGCTTTGATTGTCTTGGGTTAAACATGGTTCAGCCAAGGTAATTTTGAGGAATCGTTTCCTTTTGTACAAAACAAAATTTAAAAGCGTTAATATGATTTAAATTTCCTTCTTCAAAAGCTCATACATAATTTGGTAACATACTTAAGTTAAACATTTAACTTAAACTAAATAATTAATCTTGAATTTCTTTAAATATATTTTTTTAAAAATGAAAAAAAAAATTTACTTTAATAATCCTCTCAGTCATAATATTTTTTTTTTGTAAATTTCAGATATTTTAAAGCTAATTATAACAAATACATAATAATTATCTGTGAACATTTCCTCTAATTTTTTGTTTTTGAGTTCTGAAAATGTTTGATGAAAAGAGAATGTTTGTTAATAATTTTGAAGTTAAACATGTCAAAAATATTTTAAAATAAAATATTACCAATGTTTGTCACTTAATAAAAATAATCAAATTCTACGTAAATATGAATGATTTTTTTCATTCTAGTATTGGTGACCGTGAGGGGAAAAGTCACATGGAGGTGTGTTTCCCTGCGGAGGACTCAACTAAACATGTGGTAAATATGGATTAAGAAATATTACCTGTTATTTCATCATATGACATCCACCCACTTCCCATAAAACAATTCCATGTTTTCCTCATAGCTATAAATTCTTACTTTTTCAAATAGTATCTTAATTCTTAAGTAAACATAATTTGCCATTTAAATTTCTTTGACTGCACATTTTGCACGATTTAGACGCACAAAAATTAATTACGCAGTTTTGTTACTCATAATAGGGAAACATTGAGAGTGGGAAAAAATTCTGCTGTGAAAACTGTGATAAAGTTTTTACGGACCCTAGCAATCTACAACGCCACATTCGCTCACAGCACATTGGAGCCAGAAGTCACGCATGTGGAGAGTGTGGAAAGACTTTTGCGACATCTAGCGGACTGAAGCAGCATCAGCATATTCACAGCAGTGTTAAACCATTTCAGTGTGAAGTCTGTCTGAAAGCATACACCCAGTTTTCTAACCTTTGCCGCCACAAGAGAATGCACGCTGACTGTCGCCAACAAATTAAATGCAAAGATTGTGGACAAGCATTTTCCACAGTAACTTCTCTTAGTAAACATAAGCGCTTCTGCGAAGGTGCTTTGAGAAATGGGATTCAACTTGGATATAGTCAAATCGAGAGGCAACTGAATGGTGTTCCCACGGTGGGTGTAGCTCCCTTGAGTTCGCCCTTATTACTGGGACTTTACCGCCAACATACTTATCCTCCCTTTTATCAGCCGGTGGGTTCAACTTACCCCTCGCTATCAGGAAACTTCTACAGTGACATCCCGAAATCCTCTCTGACCTCGTTACCACAAAGAATTACATCACCCGAGGAGTTTTTCAAGTACCATAGGGCTCGCATGTCGTTGGAGGCGTCACGGAGTAATTCTGGTCGAGACTCAGTGGAATCCAGCTCCTCTAGTAAATCTCCGATATCACCGAAGAGCGATTACGAACATTCCACTTCAGATATTGAAATGGAAAACTATCGAGCATCGCCACCAAGTCCCCCAAAAAGTAAGATTAATTTGGAATCCCAAAAGTTCTGCAAGAATGAAACCGAGAAAGGCACTAGTTTGTCCTCTGAGACCTCTTTTGATTTGTTTAAACGAGCTAAGCTAGAATCCAAATCACCACCTTCTTCCTATGAGTCTCCTTCTGAGGAGGAAAGTGCTGACCAACCATTGGATTTGACCAAGAAAGCAAATACAGAAACAACACCCTCTGAAAACACAAGAAAAGCACATGTGTTTGGCTGTCCAGTTTCAGCAGATGTTCCAAACTCCTTTCCTTACGGAATTAACAATCCATTTCTCATGCAATCTCCTCTATGTTCTAAAGATCTACCCCGCTCATATCCCGAGTTCTCACGGTATTTTCCATTTCCAAATATAGGTGGTTCGCCATATGCTATTCCTCATCTAGAACAGCTGCAAAAATTAAATCAAGAAAGCCAAAATGTCTTAGTTAGCGGTTCGTCACAAGCAAGTCTTGGGTCCTTTACATTTCCAGCCGGAGGGGGGAAAGTACGAGAACGATACTCTTGTAGATTTTGCGGAAAAGTTTTCCCAAGATCTGCAAACTTGACTCGTCATCTTAGAACTCATACTGGAGAACAACCGTACAAATGTAAATACTGCGAGAGGTCATTCAGCATTTCCTCTAACCTCCAAAGGCACGTCAGAAACATCCACAACAAGGAGAAACCATTCCGATGCGAATTGTGCGATCGATGCTTTGGTCAGCAGACGAACTTGGACAGACATATAAAGAAGCACGAAACTGACGGTGCAGACGTTAGAGACTCTCCCGTAGACATAGGTCTTCAGGATAGTCGTCCGAGTTCAGTAGAACCATCTGATGATGTTCTACCAGAAGATATCAAAGAAGTCGAAAGTGATGTAGAAATCGCAGACGAGGAATCGGACATCGATATCAACTGTGAGTCCGATTCAGAGGATAGAAGTACCTCTATTACATCAGCTGCTGTTACTATGCCCGAGAAGTCCAAAAATACCGCGCTGGTTGCCGTGGAGATGACAGGATTCGCGAGTAATCACCATCTTGAATTGCAGAAAAATATTGTTTTGTGTAACTCGTAAATATAGTTGATATGTTTTACTTTTTTTGTTTTGCTTTCTTGCTGCCATTTACACTGTAAGACGCTGTGATCAATGATATCTATATATTCAATATTGTACATATATCTGTATATTTTAGTCATGTAATTTAGTATTATTTCTATTTATTCACAAAAAGTGTTCAAAGCCATTTTTTGTACTTTAGTGCAATTTGTTAAGACTTTTTTGAAGACAATTAGTTCGTAGCTAAGCAACAAATACCAAACAATACTGGATAGTGATATTGCAAATATTAATTGTTTATCTGAACAATACATGGGACTTCGATGTGGAAATATATTTAACCAGTTCTCGTCGGTGATGATGAAATTAGATTTTACCGAATTTTTACTGGATGAATCAGATAAGAGTCATTGTTATTAGGACCATTACATCTGGCTCATTTTATTTTCAGATATACTATATACATCAATTATATGAAAGGAATTCCATAATGATGTGAAATAATTGAATAAAATTTCCAGATCTATGTCTCCCTCTTTTCCTTTTCACTGAAAGTGATTTAATACATCATTTTGAAGTTAAATGAAGCAAAGAAAATAATTTATTTTTTATATTTAAGGAAAACTGGTGTAATTAAAAATAATGGACAATGAAACGAGACTTTCACACTGCCGACATTTTGCTGTAAATCTATAGAAGTAACATTAAATTTGTATTCAGAAGGTTGCATACTAAATGTATACAACATGTACATCATTCAGCGACTTCTGTCTAACGGTTTTCAGACATACAGGATGCAGCCTTAAGCTTTGTTGAAGAATTATTTTGATAGTTTACTGAGCTCAATACTTCAAAGTTTATTCAATAATCAAAATCTCTTATTTTTTTGTTTTAAATTATATGAACGTAAACAGTTGGTATGTATTACAATGCATTACATTTTTTATTAATCCATAAACAACTTGAATCACAATATTAAGCAGACGATATCTGATAATCGAGTAAAAAGGAGTTTAATCCCAAGAAAAAGTTTTATCAAAGTAGTTGTTTTTTTTTTTTTTTTTTTTTTTTTTTTTTTTTTTTTTTAAAGATTAATTACTACGCCCACTGAAGAAAACAAACGAGGAGAAAAAGACATAATTAGATTTACGAAGTAAAATACTTATTTTATACACAGATTTAATAAGATGATCTCTGAATTCTCAACATATTTTAGAGTCTGGTTGAAATACTCTACATTTTCATTTCATTAAAGTAAGTTATAAGTCTATCTATAAATAAGCAATTTAATATCAGACAAGAAAATACAATTTTTCTATGACAAAAAAGTTTATTTACAATTGTTTCTACCAATAAAAACATAATTTGTTTTATATCTTTGGTCTACTCATTTGATAAAATTTCCTTTGTTTACCAATAAATCCTCTTACATTTATTACATCCTCGAGATCTCTTCTTTTTTTTCTCGTGCATATTTAAACAGATCTTTCCAAAGCCAATACCTCAAACCATCAGGATCCAATAATTTACTCAGCAGATAAAAGCGAAAAAATAACTGACACGGATCAAACCTAGCAACTTTTGAAATACTGGTTGTAAATTTTTTTCTCAAGTTTTTATTTAGCGCCATTTTCTTGTTCCCATAAAGTATCTTGTCATGTAACTGTCAATGTGAAAGATTTATTATGGACTTTAGAAGATCTCTATCTACCTTAAGTAGTTGTATTCTTGCGCTCCACTTACCCGTGATGACACCACTAAAGGCGGGCCTCTGATAAGACCATATTTGTAAACATCCTAAGCTGGGATTAGTATCGCCTCGATTTCAGAGTGGATAAATAGTTGCTTTGGGTTTTTTAAAGAGTTTGAAAAGCACTGTTTGATAAGAATTTATTGTTTAATTATATATCATATAAGATTGCATTTTAATGCAATAACTTTGTATTTTGGAAGGCACCAATTTAGGTTTAACTCGTTATTGTAATACATGTAATTAGATATATTTTCTAAATTATAGAGATCCTTTTTATGCCATTGATGAAATAGATCCATCCATTGTTTAAGTGTCAAGCATGTGCAATCCAATTCCCTAACCAAAACAACAACGAATTCTTTGCACTACTTAAAATACGTAATGTTTACAACAGTGGTATATTTTCTAAAGTATAGTGACATTTCTTTACAGGAGATATGTATGAAATTTGTTGTATCAAATATATAAAATATGAATTCGAAGCATATACATATGATATTAAGGCGAATTTCCTAAGTGAATTTCTAAATATAAAAATGCATTTAATTTTTCTATCAATTAAATTTAACTCAGCTTTTATATTTATTACGTGTAGTATCTGTTTGGATTTGATGTTATTTTTCATCATTAAAAATCTACATGTGTATGTCTTATATTTTGATTAACTACCATTGATTTAAGTTTATTTATGAAATTATTTACCTGTATATAATAAACAGGGAAAAACATATCAAACATATAAAAGGATGCCAAAAGTTGGAAATCTATAGAATTCAGTGCACAAACACTTAATTATAGAGCATTTGATTTCGTGCGTATCTTTCGTGATTGTCTTATTTTCATATAAAAATTGAATTGAATAAGATATTGTTAATATAAATTATTATATAATTAAATAATAAATATATTGAATAATTCCTAGGTCTCTGATTGGCTGAGATTCAACGTTGTAAAAATCATAAAATTATTAAGTCAATCTGAACGAGACCGTCCAGGTAAACATAATAATAATATTTCTACATTGAACTAGAAATAAACTGAGAATATCTAAATTGATACAATTAAATAAGAGAAGTTATTTTACCTGCACCTGCCTTCCCATTGAACATAACTTTTTTTTCTACATCGCACTAAATAAATAAATCAATCAATCAATCAAGAAATTCCAAATTCATACTTCTGGTGATGTATATTTTTTTCCCGCTTCTCTCACTTCTTTCGGCTAGGACTTGAATAATCGTAAACAAGAACGATAAAAATTATTGCTGTTTTTTTCAGTCAAAACGATGATTTAGCAACCCTCAAAGTACAATACTCACCTCGCCCTTCTGACACGGTGAATTTTGTACCCTCAGGTGGCTAAATCATCATATTGACTGAAAAAGAAACAGCAGTAGTTGTTTAATATTTGACTGCTTTGTAGGAATATATTATATACTTTACATGTAATTTTTTTCGGACGTGAACAAAAAATGTCACAGAAATGTTTCAACTTTTTATGTCCCCGTAATCAAAGATTCGGGGGCATATAGTTTTTGCCCTGTCCGTCCGTCTGTCTGTCTGTCTGTCTGTCTAGCTGTCTGTCTGTCTAGCTGTCTGTTTGTCCGCAAAAACTTTAACCTTGCCCGTAACTTTTGATTGGTTGGAGCTATGGCTTTTATATTTCACATGTGTATTTCTTTTGACAAGACCTTTCTTTGGGTACCATAAAATTTGACGTTCTGACCTTGACCTTGGAGTTTGACCCACTTTTGCAAATTTTTTTCAGACTTTAACCTTGGCCATAACTTTTGAATAGTTAGGTCTAGGGCTTTCAAACTTCACATGTGTATACCTTGTAACAAGACCCTCCTTCAGATATCAACAACTTTGACCCTTTGACCTTGACCTTGGAGTTTGACCTACTTTTGAAAAAACCTTAACCTTGTCCATAACTTTTGAACCGTTGATGCTAGGACTTTCACACTTCACATGTGTATACCTTGTGACAAGACCTTCCTTTGGATACCAAAAAAACTTTGACACTTTGACCTTGACCTTGGAGTTTGACCCTGTTTTAAAAAACCTTGGTCACAACATTTGAACGGTTAGTGCTAGGACTTTCATCCTTCAAATATGTGATCCCTGTGACAAAGTCTTCCTTTGGATACCAACAACTTTGACCATTTGACCTTGACCTTGGATTTTGACCTACTTTTGCAAAACTTTAACCTTGGCCATAACTTTTGAACGGTTGGTGCTAGGGCTTTCATACTTCACATATGTAATTATTGTGACAAGACCTTTCTTTGGATACCAACAACTTTGACCCTTTGACCTTGACCTTGGAGTTTGACTTACTTTTGGAAAACTTTAACCTTGGCCGTAACATTTGAACGGTTGGTGCTAGAGCTTTCACACTTCACATATGTAATCGTTGTGACAAGACCTTCCTTTGAATACCAACAACTTTGGCCCTTTCATCTTGGAGTTTGACCTATTTTTGAAAGACTTTAACTTTGGCCATAACTTTTGAACGGTTGGTGTCAGGGCTTTCATATTTCACATGTTTATTTCTTGTTTGAAGGTCTTTCCTTGTGCACCATTAATTTTGACCATTTGAACTTGACCATAATGATTTACTTACTTTTGATAAACTTTAACCTTTTCCATATCTATTCAATGGTTGCTGCTAGAGTTTTCGTATTTCAAAGGTATATTCCTTGAGACAAGACCTTACTTTGGGTACCAACATATTTGATTTGCATTTGAGAAAGTTTAATCTTTGATATGAGTTGCCATACGAGGGCATCAGTGTTTCACAAACACATCTTGTTATTATCTACAGACTCGACACCAAGGGAACTCAAAGGAATGTTGTTCCTCGTGGAAATATTTATTATATAAGAGTTTGAGAGAAAAGGAAAATAATAATTAAAAAAGTGTCCTTATAGCTCTGTCATGTTTTTTTCCGTTTATCTTACAGAGGTATTTCTATCTAATTGCTATGGAAGAGGACAATTACATCATTACAATATTTAACAATATTCAAAGAAATTTTGGATATGTGGAAATATTACGAAAGAACGACACACTGAAGTTTAGACCGTGTATCAATTCAATAACTAAACCCACCCGATAAATGTAAATACTCCCCACTATCGTGTAATAAGGAATAAAATGGGCAACTAAACACGTGGGCTTATGTCATATATTGTCAAAAAAAACTATATAATACGTAAAACATAGGGAAGTGTTGTAGAATGTGTTACTTTATTTTTTTTAAAGTCGGCTTCATGATTAGATTATAAGAGGTTAGCAAAGTAAGAATGGTATTTTCTTATTTCCTATTCAAACTTATTATTTTTGGATTCATTCTCTTACTGCAATTAGTGACTCACATTTCTGATATTCTGTAAAAAATAAATTGTGTATATTTTATGTAAATTATTTCATAAGCTCCTATATATCATGCAGTGTACTCCAAGAAGAACTAACAGATACGAAGTCTTGCCTAATCCTCCCAGTCTTCATGAATTATGTTTAGCTTATCTATATCGTTAGAACATGGTAGTGAATATTGCTATGTTAAATCATAAATATACCAATTTTTTACCCATTATACTGATTCACCTTCCGCAAATTAAGTGAGAGATGATACTCTTGATTTTTGTCTTGTGTTTGAATGTAATAGCTCATGATCTACACAAACCTCCTGGTTCCACATAAAAACACCAACAGCTTTTGACAAGTTTCCATTGACAGCTTCTAATGATAATTGAAATAAATGATAA